AAGCTTGGCCGCATAAAAACCGGGTACATTGTGGTCATATAGGTAAGTATTATCTCAATCGTCTTTGCAATTCAGCCGACCCCAAATACTACATTGTGGCCCTGGGCATAGGATTGTCTCAATTGTCTTTATTATTAATCCGACCCCAAATAGTACATTGTTATCTTGTAGGTAAGTATTATCTCAATCGTCTTTACAGTTCAGCCAACCTCAAATAGTTGGTGACCTTAGAGCTCGGTATTTTCTCAATTGTCTCTACTATTCAGCTCACCTTAAATAGTTAAGATAAGGCTTGAATGTTGATGATGATATCTCTCTCTAAAAACTCTTTAAAATAAGAATGCAGTTGGCATATGGATGCATCCGTAGCTGTAAAGATAAGGCGCACCTTCAAATTTTATCATGGTATATAACTTTGATGTAAAATGTTCTTAGGATTATCTCAAAATCTATTTTATATCTAATTATAAAATTTAAATTTAAAGAATGGTTAAAATCAAGTAGATCTATAAACATATGAAAATCTTGAAAATAGACGGCATAGATAATATGTTGTAAAATACACTATTTCTGATACTTAAAATCTTTTTATTTTCATGGTTATACATATTGATGTCGAGATGATTAATCTAAAGGTTTTTCAACATTAAAACTACCTTTTTCGATGCTTTTTTAGGCGCATCCGTAGTTCTACATTATAAGGTTGCATCCTTATATAAATTTTTTCCTTAAAAAAAAAAAAAATTGATATTTTTAAAATCAACTTTCTAAACACCTTAGTCCTCAAAAAATTTTATAACACAATTTAGACCCAAACATTATTTTTGCTTGTATTAAAAAGTCAACAAGTTTAAAACTAAAATCCCCTCTTTTTTTTTTCTCATTCTCTCTTTCTTTAACCACAAACAGCCATCTCTCTCCCCTCTCTCCTCTCTCTCTATATACCTTCTATCTCTCTTTACTTGCCTTCTCTCTCTTTATCTCCTCTCTCTCTCCTCCTCTTGCTCTCTCTCGTAGAAGTTAAACAGAGAGAGGGGGAGCCACAATTTCAACAGCAGCAACCACACTTGATTCTCAAGTAGCTCCTTGGTCTCTGAGGCAAAATTCTCTCTCTCTCTCTGCAATAAATATACACAAAAAATGGAGAAGTAATAACCTTTAAACTGGGCTTTTATCAATCAAAAGAGCCCACAATAAAACCCGAAAACTGCAACGAAACAAAAAAGATCAAACCCCATATGGGTTTTCTCCGATAGAAAGGCAGGTAGAGAGAGAGAGCGCGGGTAGAGAGAAAGAGCGGAGGGGAAAAAGAAATGGCAGGTTGAGAAAGAGAGAGAAATGACAAGTAGTGAGAGATAGGGAGGGAACGAGAAAGACATAAAAAAAGCCTTTCGGTTTCAAACTTGTTGATTTCTTGCTAGAGGTAAATACAATAAATATGGGTTATACAAAAAATATTGAAAATATGATATTTATGAAGTTAATTTTGAAAAGTATCTATAATTTTTTTTAAAATAAAATAAAAGGGAGAGCTCTTTGACTCTCTCTAGAGTTAATTTAAAGGCACGAAGACTTTCTCTCTCTAAACCATTCCCTCAAAAGATCTCTCTCAATTTTATCTGCTGTCGCTCAGTATTGGAGGGGAAGAAGTCTCTCTCTCTAAAAAAACTCTCTAAAATGACATAGAAGAACTCTTACGACTCTTTCTCTAGATTCAATTTAAAGGCTTGAAACATGGACACGAGTATCCTAGACTATGACCATGTGTCAACATTTGACAAACACCGAACATATGTCAGACACTCTTAAACGTCTCTATTAAGTGTCTATTATTGTGTCTCTTTTTTAGACTTTTTTTTTTTTTAAAGTGACATTTTTTTTTTTTTAAGCTTTATTTTTCATTAAAAAGTATTTTATTTTAAAGGATTGTATATTATAAAACCGTTTATCTTTATTACATGGAGATCACAACTACTCATAGCCATTAAATATCAAATTGAAGGCTTAATGTGTATTACAAAGTTCAAAAAATTTTCATTTAAACTTTAAATCTAATCAATAAGATTCACAACGGACTAAAAGTAAACAATCTCTTTGTATACTTTTCTTTATTTTAAAAATAACAAGTATTTTAGAATAAAACAAACAGTTTAGAATAGAAAAATATAAAGTATTTTAATTTATTAAGTCATGGCTTCCATAGATCATTGTTACAATCAATAAAAAATACAGCTTATTTCAACTACTATGAAACTTTCTAGGGTTTCTTTTTTTGCAAGCCGCGACGCGCTGATTTTTCTCTCTCCAAGCCTTGTGGCCTACAAGTTTCTCGCTGTCCAATGTGTGAACCACTAGATATTAATTTCTCTTCTTCAACTTTTCTCTCATCTATTTTATTGTTTTATCGTTTTTGTCATTAATAGTATGAATTGGATTGTGCCTTGTTTTGTCTCAAAAATTATCTTTTATTGGTTTTAAAAGCTTGTACTATTATTTGATATTTTTTAAATTTTACAGTAATCTTGTCATAGAAAGTATTGTACTAACAGTTGCTAGAATTTAAAGCTTACAATACTTTTATCATTTAAAGTGTAAAACTTCTTAAATTTTAACATAAATTTCTTTTGTCTTAATAAACAGTTTTCAAGTTGTAAAATTTTGTTAATAGAAGTTTATAGTTTTGTCTTACTCATTGCTTGTGCTTGTGTTATTATTTCTGTTTTCTTTTTTTTTACTTATTATTCCTTCCTCGTACACATTGCATTACTTGTCTTGGTCTAACTCATTCTATTCAAAATCGTAGGGGAGACTTATTTATTTAGTTTTGAACATTGAAAGGCTTTATTTCAAGTATTATTAAACTTTTCTTATTTTTATAATAAAATTAAAGTTCACAAAGTAATTTTTTTGAATTATTAATTTGATTATATATATATATATATATATAAAAGTAATGATCCTATAAGGCTTTTTCTCACCTATATGTGTAGGATTTTAAAAGATTACCATTAAAGTTGGCACGAATCTCTACAAAATTTATCACATTGGTGTGAGACTTGACTTTTCTATAGATCCATGCCAAATTTAATGGTGATCCTTTAGGGTCCTACACACATGGGTGGAGTACGGTCTTATAAGATCATATATATATATATGGAAAAATATATTCATATCTCTTATTTTTAGGTTTTATTTCTTCATAAATTCAAAGTTTCAAAAGATGTCTTCTAAAGCTTCCGCTATTTTGCCTAAACAAATATGAAAAAGGCATGTTATTTTTAAACCCAATCTTTTTTTTCTCTTTATGTATATATTCCAAACTTCTCTTTCTCTCTCTTCCTGTCCAAGATGCTTTTTAAAAGAGGGATATATTTTTAGATTTGTTTAGCCTAAAAAATAGATTTAAATTAACTTTAGGGGTTAGAAAAAATAAAATTTACAATTTTTATGTCTCAATATATTTTTTAAAAATTTAAATTTATTGTGAAATAAAATTTAAAAATAAAAAAATATAGAGATATTTTTCCTACCTTTTATGAAAATATTTATATATCGTATGAATGTGTCAATCTAGATGTCATTTTTTAATGTTAGGATTTTTTTTACTCGTATCGGATCGGTCCGTTCAAATTTCTGATACCTGATTCCATATGATAGTTAGAGAGGCGTACGCGCGTCTATACGACATAGTTTAAAAGCCGGAAGTCTTTCTCTCTCTAAAACTATTCCATTGGGAAATCGCTCTCCCGGCTTTCTCTCTCTATCCTCTTCGATAACGAGGCCCGCACGCCTGCCTGCCTTCCCGCTTTGATCACGTTTATAAGCGCCTCTAGAGAGAGAAAGTGGAAGAGAGAGAAAGAGAGGAGCGCAAAATTCAGAGGTCTTTTGTGCCATTTATCGATCCTTTCTTCCCCCAAACACGCAATTGCTTTCCCCCTTCCCCCTTATTTACAACTGTAACATGCACAGTATCTGGGCTCCTCTGCTCCTCTTCAAACCCTTAGAAATCCCTCCCTCTCTCTCTCTCTCTCTCTCTACCTCTGGTTCGACATAGAAAGTGTCTCTTTCTCTCTCTTACTTTAGCATAAACAAACCTCTCTCTCTGTTTCTCTCTGTGAGAAAGAGGCCTTTCTCTCTCTAAGCTGTTGAATATAGAAACATCTCTCTTTCTCTCTCTAGGATTTTGTCTTTCTTTCTCTCTCTAGGATTTTGATCGTTGAGGAGAAGAAAGATGAAGAAGGAGGAGCAAGCGAGGTCTCTGTTAGGGGTCTCACTATCAGGAAGACCTAAATGGCAGCAATTCTTACTATGCACTTCTGGTTTCTTCTTTGGATACCTCGTTAATGGCGTCTGTGAGGTATGATCACTTTCTTCGCTTGCATGCACATGGTTTTTCACCATTTTTGAAGCTTTAGGGATCATTGACGTTTGTAAATGGATTCTGATTCTTATTTTTTTCCGGTTTTTCCTTGCTAGTCGCCTGTTTAACTCTCTGAGCTTCACTTTATAGAGAATTTTTGTTGATTTTTATGTTTCAGTCGCATTTTTGGGAATAAATTTGATCGAATTTTATGTTTCTGTCGCTTTTGTTGAGTTTGAGAAGGACTTCTTATTCTAAAATGAATTTTTTAAGTTCTTTAAAGTAAGTTTTCTGATATTATATAATTTATGAGTAACTATATGAGTAATTGTTCAGTTCTTCACCAAAGAATATAAGAGATATTTCAATGGCACAGTGTTTTTCTTTTTCACAAATAAGCGTTTTAAGACTTTAATGTGTTTCACAAAGGAACGTATTACGACTTTAATAAGCTCTATTATTTTCTCTTAATCAAGCGATTTTCTAGTAATTGCTCACATTACTTAATGCGATTTTTCATTGGAGTTCAATTATTTTGCAGTATTTTTTCAGATTTTTAGAATTTTCTTTTATTCTGTTGGACTGGAAGTTTTAGATTTACGTTTATACTTTCTCCTTTGATTGTTCTATTGATTTATTTTTTTTTTGTTTATTTACCTTAATTTTGCTTTCCTGTATTGATTTTTTGTAACTACTTCATAGTAAGCTTTTCTTGGAGTATTTATTCAGAGCTTAAGATTTATTTATATATATATATATATATCAGAGGATTTCAGATAATAAGATGTGTGTTTATTGTGCTGTTGTTTCTTCTTGTTTGGCATAATTTTAATTATTATTATTTTTCCATAATGCTTATGGCTATTGGGTCTGTGTTTCTTTGGGTCTCTGGTTTCACACCAGGTCTTAGTGAGAGAAATTCCTTTACAAAGTTTTATTGTAAGGCTCTAGGTTTTTCTATGTATCACTTGATACTTCAAGAATAGCTTTAATGAGAAAGCTTTTTGCACAAGGGTTTGAGAGCATATTGCTGTTTCCTTTATTTTTCATTTTTAATTCTTCTTTGGGAGTGCTTCTAGGAAGGCTTTTCACTGAAGGATTTGAAGTTCTACTTTTTATTTTTTTCAAGAGAAACTGAGCACTTTCATTTTAAAGGAATCTAAAAACCTTAGTCGACAAGGATCTTGGGTGCTCTCACTCTTGCTTTTGTCAGTTCACTTTTCCTTTTCTAGTTTGATTTTTATATTTTCTTAATTTTTTTCTAGTTTATCTTTTTAATTCTTTAGAAGACTGCATAAGCTCAAAAAATATTTTTCATTTGAAAGTGTCTTGTCTCTGAAAATCTTTTGATAGTGAAGCTTTTGGTTCTTATCAGATAACGATTATTTTATTATGGCTTTGCAGCGACTGATATGTGCCTAATCACCAAGATGCATTCTTTTACTCTCGATTTCAGGCTTTTGGTTTCGAATCTCCACCTTACCATGCCCAAACATGAAGTATTGAAAAAACAATCATCGGGAAATTGAAAAAATGGAATCTAACCAACCCAATTGGAGAAATGGAGAAACAAGATATCAGATGGGTTTCATGAAATCTATTTGTAGCTTTTTCTTAATCAGACGATTTGTTAAAATCCTCAAAATCTCTCGGTTACATTTTCCCCCCTAGTTTTCCTCTTTATATTCTTGAAATGGTCTTGGTAGGATTTCAGAATTGTTTTAAGAATCTGCACATAATCAATTGCATTTTTCCCTTCTGAGGATATTTAGTTGTCCATTGCTACGTGCTTTTCCTGGCTCTTGGGTTTCATTGATGAGCTCTTTACTCGAAATTCAATATCATCTCACAAGTTTTTCTGTAACCAAGCTTGCTCTGTTTTTCTCTACATCACAGGAATATGTGTATAACCGGCTACACTTCAGGTATTTACAAACTTCGTCGGTATTTGGTCATTAATTGTTTTATCTAGTCTTTTATCTCTTCTGATTTTTCGGATGAATATTACTCTTAATGTAGTTATGGCTGGTACTTCACCTTTGTGCAAGGATTTGTCTATCTAGCACTGATATATTTGCAAGGGTTCAGCACAAAGCACATGGTGAACCCATGGAAGACTTATGTGAAGCTCTCTGCTGTCCTGATGGGATCCCATGGGTTAACCAAGGGGTCCTTGGCCTTCCTCAATTACCCTGCACAATTGATGTTCAAATCAACAAAGGTCAAATTGCCATTAAACTCCTTTAGATGAAGCATTTTTTTTCATTAACAATTGATGATCTGCTTAATCCTATTAAGCAGAAGAAATGTATTGAATTCTCTCTCTCTCTCTCTCTATCTGTCTCTCTCATTTTGACATTTTCATCTTGGAAAGAAAAGAGAACTTAGATGATTTTTCTTACTGGCTTTAACCCAAAGGTGGAAAATGACCGATTGAGCTATTTACTAAGGCCTGGGTCCTAAACATCTCATTTCTCATTTACGGCTTAATCCACAGATATGGAAAACCCTGGTGGGCTTGTCATTTTCACACCTTTATCTTTGTAAGCTGCCACATTGACAAGGCTCTTGCCACCACACTAATGTGTGCAAAATAGGCCACAAGCGATTACTTAATTGAGATTTCATTGATTAACTGTGTTCTAGTTGGAATTCCTCCCTCTTCTTTGTTTTCCGAGCCTCATGTTGTTCCTTGTTTAACCTAAAAGGTTGAATATGTATGAGTTTTAGGCATATAACTGTAATCCCTATACTTCATTGTTTCTGCTTCATTTGTCTGATTTTGGGAAGAAATGCTTAATTAACTCGTACTATTAAGAAAAGCTTAATTACCGCTGCATTTAGACACTTAATTGCGCATATTTTCTTTTCTTTTCAACAATTCCTTCAAATTATTCTAACTTTTGGCCACAGGTATTGCCAGTGATGATCATGGGGGCTTTCATTCCAGGACTGAGAAGGAAATACCCGCTCCATGAATATGTATCAGCTGTTTTGCTAGTTGTGGGGTTGATACTTTTTACTCTAGCAGATGCTAATACATCCCCAAATTTCAGCATTCTTGGTGTGATAATGGTCTCTGGGGCTCTAGTCATGGACTCATTTCTCGGGAATTTACAGGAAGCCATATTCCTCATGAATCCCGAAACCTCGCAGGTGATCCTCCAACTCTTTCATGAATTTCATGTTGCTCATTTTCATGATTCTTTGCATACGCGCGCGGGGAGAGAGAGAGAGAGTCAACCTCTTTCATGCATACCATGTTTTTCTTTTTTGGATTCTTTTTAGAGAGGTGGTGCATAGAGAATGCTTTGCAGGTAACCATTTCACGAGATCCATGTTTCTCTTTTCCACGTTCTTTTTTGAAAGTGAGGAGCATAGAGAATGTGTTATATCCAATTCTTTTTTTTTTGGGTAATTATATGCAATTTATGCAATTCTTTTGTGCACCCCTATGTTTCATATTCAACTCTTTCATGCATCCCATGCTTCCCCTTTTTATGTGCCCCTTTAGAAGAGGGGGAGCATAAAAATGCTTTATTCAACTCTTTCATGCATCCCATGCTTCCCCTTTTTATTCTTCTCTTTAGAAGAGGGGGAGCTAAAAACTGTTTTATGCAACCCATGTTCTTGATACTCAGTTACACTGTTTTGAAATGGTGGATTTCTAGGCATCTAGTGAGAGAGTTTTGAAAGTCATGTAAAGTTGTTTAGAGAAAGAATCAAATGGTCTCTCAATTTTTGTTTAAGGATAGTATACAATGAGTCTATATACCTTTGATACAAGTAGGTCACAAGTGCTTATAACCATCCGAAATCTAATAGCTTGAGTGTGTCACCAACTTCGAAAAGATTTTTTTTGAAGTTTTGAGTTTGGTCAATGGAACAAATGCATTCAATTTCACATTCAATGGTCAAGATTAATTGTAACCACATTTTATCAAAATAAATGGTCTCATTGTATATTTTTTCTTTTGTTATTATGGACTTTATGAGTTGCAAGCCACGACACACCAAAACGTCTATTGAGTTATCTAGAGATAGACTTATTGATTGCCTCCAACAGAGACTCAAAAAATCGAAAACAGGCTGAACTCATCAGGGTCTGTTTTTTATTTGCCGGGTCTTACTCTGGGAATTCTCAAGTTGGGCAGGCTATATATTTAGCAAAAATCAATAAAAAAAAGAAATAGAAAACCTTGAGGTTAGGGCGATTCCAGGGTTTTTTGGCCACAAATTGCTAGTATATCTATCTGGTCAGACCCGCATGCGATTTTTGAATAACTGGTGGTAGGTAGAGATATTTAGAGGTGACTTTTCTTAGTACTCATTATTAGCTATTGAAGTGTTCATTAGAATAGTCAGCATGTGGATAAACTATTGTTAATTAAAGTGGGATTTTGCTGATGTATTATGATGTAAAATAGTTTTTGAATATTTTTTTGGTATGCTAATAAACACAGATGGAGATGCTTTTTTGCTCCACCGTTGTTGGACTGCCCTTCCTTATTCCTCCCATGCTCTTGACTGGGGAGCTCTTCAGGGCGTGGAATTCTTGCTCTCAGGTGTGTTTCTGACTGAAATACCCCTCCTTTTTTTCTTGAATTGCAAAGAAGGCCAATCTTTACCCTTTTAGAAAAGGATAAATCCAAACTCTTATGATACCCCTTCCTTTAGTGGAAATCCAATGAGGGTCAAAGGTCAATTTTGGGATGAAAGTACATATGACCTCGCTCGTGGCACATATCAAAGGACCCACAACTTTTTAATCCTTGTTGAAAGGGTTGTTGAAAGGGTTACAAGTGAGCTGATAACAATATATTGCCACTTGATACTAGTTGTAAGTTCTTTTTTAGCTTTTTAATCAACAGAAAAATGAAAAATAGATATGGGGCACGCCTTTGGGCGCACATATCTAGGGACCCACAATTCTTTTGTAGCCTTTTAATCAATAAAAAATAGATATGGGGAACCCCTTTGGGCCCACATATCTGGGGACCCACAACCTTTTGATCTTCAATGGGAGGAGTAAGCTGATAACAATATCGTCGATATTAGTTTTGAGCTAGACTCGGCCTTTTAATCTATTTGGGATGGTGGAATATCTTGAATCTCGACACATTCATATTAAAGACACAGAATTTAGCTAGCATGTATATCTCATTTACTAATTATATATCTCATTTACTAATTATAGGGTGGGGTCTCTATAAAAATATAATTTATATGAGATTGAAGCACAGATGACTGTTTCGTTGTTGACGATGAGCTCGCGAGTGTCGAGTTACATTGCACCCATATTATAACCCGAATATTAAACAAGATAATTTTATGTCTTAGAATTAGTTTTCCCATAGCTAATGGGATTGGGCATTTGTGTCATCTCTTCAATTAAACTAATTTTAACCACTACCTAAAAAATCGCCATGCTTTCTTCCAAATCGTTGGGAAAATGAGAAATTGGTGGCGACGTGATCCGCATGAACGGCCAGCTGGGCAATTAAATGGTTTCGAATTAATTAATTAATATTTTAAAAAGATCAATCATTAATTAATATTTTAAAATGATTATTAATACGAATAATCTATTGTTCTTTTGAATTTATTTAATTCATTGAATTCGTTTTTTTGGCAGCACCTTTACGTGTACGGTGTGCTGGTTTTTGAAGCTATGGCAACGTTCGTTGGGCAAGTCTCAGTTCTCAGTCTCATAGCCATTTTTGGTGCTGCTACAACTGCCATGGTCTCTTTCCTTTTTCCTTGTCTTTTATCTGCCCTTCCATTTTTTTAAGTGAGTTAGTTTCCAGTAAGTTTTTTGAATCCCGAATCGGCCTGTCAAAGTGGCCATCTGGGAAATTGGTCCGATAAGCAAATTGCCAATCCATATCCGCAAGCAAGCCGATCAATTCTCCCCTGGCCGGTCAGGAATTTGGCCTGTTCTGGAAATTGGAACAATACCAAAGAGATCCGATCGATTCTCCCCTGGCTGATCTAGGAAATTGGCCCTATTGGCAAATTGGAATAATACCAAAGGGATTAATTAACATGGGTCATGTCCAAGGAATCAGGCTTGAGTAGTTAGCAATTGACAGGACTAAATCTGAAGTTCTATTCCTGCCATTGAACTACTCAAAAAAAAGAAGAAAAGAAATGCCATGCATAAATTGAGAAATGGTTTAAATATTTTACTTAGGAGAGAACAGAAACTGTGAAAATTTATCAAACTACACAAAAGAGATAAACTAGATAAAACTATTCAATACATATATATTTTTTGACAAGGTTACGAAGGAATGGAACTTGAGAAAACTATTTAATCTTTTTATGCAACTATTTCAAGTCGTGATCATATATTTTCTGATGAGTATGTTGAAATTAAATCATAAGATATAGGTAAAATATTAAATAGTTCATATCTCAGGGTTATTTAGGAAGTTTTATCAAATTATGTATTAGAGATTAACTATTTAACATTTTACCCATTTGCAACAATGATTATGACCATGTATTCTTTTATAGGTATTTTAGAATTATATTAAAATTAAATTGTTCGTCTCTCATGAGTAATTTCTAACTCGGTGTAGATAACAACTGCAAGGAAGGCAGTGACGCTCCTTCTCTCTTATATCATCTTTACCAAGCCACTGACAGAGCAACACGGCACGGGTCTTCTACTAATTGCAATGGGAATAGCCCTCAAGCTCTTGCCTGAAAATCAACAGCCCTTAAAACCTTCTAAAACTGGTAAGTCATCAATCGAGATAACGGAGATCTCTCGGAAAGCAGACGAGGAAGAGGGGCGGCCATTGATCTGAGATGGGGCTTTGGGGGTCTCTGAGATCCGACGGTTCTCCTTTGTGTTGCGCTTTTTTTTTCTTTCTTCTATTTTTCTGCCTTGCCCTAGGATTTCTTTTCCTTACTTGTAAACATATTTGTGCGTTAGAGAGAGAGAGAGAATTGGGAAGTGTTTACAATGATTAGAGAGAGAAATTAGGAATGGGTTTTGTTGCTTAGAGAGAGATGGAGAGTGGATTTGTTGCTTAGATGGAGAATTGGGTAATGGGTATTGTTGGTTAATGAGAGAGAGAGAGAGAGAGAGAGAGAGAAGTTGGGATTAGGTTTTGTTGCTTACAGAAGAGGGAGAGAGATTTGGAGAATTAGGGAATGGGATTTGTCTTTTAGTAGAGAGAGAGAGAGGGGTTTTCGCGTACCGTGTACGGTACGTGTACCTGACCTAAAGTACAGGTTCGTTTAGAATGTGATTTTTTTTTGTTGATGTTATTCATGTAATGAAGATTCGAAGGAATCAGGGTCAAAAGAATGCTAAAAAAATAATAAGGATCATTGTCAAAATATGTTTTAAATTCAATACAAAAATGTGTCACTTCTAGGTCTCTTGGATCTTGCATGCATTTTTTCATTCGATGCTTTAGGGAAATGTGATTTTTTTAAATTTTTTTTTTTATTATTCTCTTTTTATTTAGCAAAAAAAATGCCATTAGAAATGCAAATCCTCTTGGGAAATGCATAGTTTAATCTTTAAAACTTTAAATTTAAATATTACTAGAGAAGAGCACGTGCGATGATATTTGTACTGGGCATTTCTTTTTTTTCTTTTTCTTTTTTTTTTGTAACATTAACACTAGGCTTTTATTAACTATAAATCTTTGAAGTTACAAGGGCATCAAAATACATAAAAGTACATCACATGAAATTGATAATCACCAATGAGAATTGAAAAGTACCTCCTTTAGCTAAAGAATCAGGTTCAACATTTGCTTCACTGTAACAATAGAGAATTTCAACCTCAAATGGTTCAAGAATGCCACCAATTTCATGAAAAATGGAAAAGAGGAACTCGTATTTTTTTTTTACACCATAGTATAATATTCACCGAGTACCCTTCAATAACATTTCCTCCATCAAAATTTGAAAGCAATTTAATTCCCTTTAATAGCCTTTTAGCTTAAGCTTCATTGGCTGTTGTATTACTACAACGATCAGAGTACGACAATAGGATCCTTTCAAGATGATCTCTGATAAGCCCCCCAAAACCGGCCTTTCTTGGATTTTCTGATGAATTGCCATCAAAGTTGAGTTTATATGTGTTTGAAGGAGGCAGGATACCTACTGGGTATCCTGCACTCTGGAAGAGTTTATAGGTGTTTGAAAGAGGCAGGACTCCTACTGCACTTTGGAAATCGGATTTCCAAATGACTTGCCATCAAAGTTGAGTTTATAGTTACGAAGATTAGCTACTTCATAATGATGCATATTATAAAGCTCCTGGGAATACATGCACAATCCTTATTAGTAGAAAGCCATTTTGCAACCAATACTAAGATATTTGATTTAAAGATAGATTCTTCTAACATAATTCCCTGGAAGGCTATTTTATTTCGCTCTTTTCAAATTCCCCAAAGCATGCTCACCCAAATTGATCTCCATAGAGCAGCTAGCGATCTAATGCACTGTTATGGTTTTGAAACAATAAACAATAGGTTGATTTAACTTAGGTTGATTTAACTGAGAAATCCCTAGACTTCGTGCATTCCTAAACAGTATAGTCTGCTTCATTGGGTGAAATGTATACATCCTTCAACCTATTTAGCAAGTTTTGATAGGCGTCAATGAAAGAATCAGAGACTCTTCTGTACCTACAAGGTAGAGACCAACCAAACAATGTTAGTAAAAACACCCCCACTTACCACTTTAACTGTAGCCAAGGGGTTCAAAACTTTGGTAAAGACATTCGGATGTTGGAGTCTCAAAGGCTCATCCCCCAACCATTTATCAAATCATAAGAGGGTTTAATCTCCATCATCAATTGCCTTTCTGATGTGGGTCAAATAAGTTCCCCTACAGTGATCAATGCATCTCTATAAGAAGGAAAAAATAGATTTTTTTGTCTTAGAATCTCAATGAGTCCCGTTACTGTATCTTCTCCATATTTATCTCTTAAAACCTCTACCCAAAAGGCGTTTTGCTAAGAATGTATCCTCCACCACCACTTATAAAGTGGAGTTCATGAAATTTAATCTTCTACCCAAACCTCCTTCCCTGATTAGATCGCAAATTGTTTCCCATTTCATTAGATGAAGTTTCTTATTTTGTCCACATCCCCCCATAGAAAATTTATCATTAATCTCTCAAGACGTTTGACAATTTGCATAGGCATACGAAATAGGGACATAAAGTATACTGGAAGATTGGATAAGTTGGACTTGATTAAAGTACATCTTCATCTCAAAAAAAGGGTCTTAGCCTTCTATAGGTCCAACTTTTTCTGACATCTATCACTAATTGGGTCCCAAGTTGCTTTTGAAGGTTTAATATCCACTAGATGAATGCCCAAACACTTACAAGGGAACTTTTCTGTACCACAACCTAAAAGCTTCACCAACCTACCCACCAGATGGTCTTGCCATCCTATCACTGTAAGCTTAGTCTTGCTTAGATTGATTTTCAAGCTTGTCGTCATTTCTACACATTTTAAAAAAAATCCAAAGATTAGTAACTTCTCTTTCACATGGATTACAAAAGATAATGGTATTATCTGTATATTGCAGATGGGATACCATAGGGCACAATTTTCGCATAAAAAATATATCCCTTGGAACCCTTGAACAAGACACTAAAACATTCAGTCATCAAAGCATATAAGAATGGTAAAAGAGGTTCCCCTTGTCTAAAGCCTCGAGAAGCTTTAAAGAAACCAGTAGCCTTTCTATTAATCAACGACGACAAATGAGTGGAATTTAAGCCCCCTTGAATCCACAACCTCCAGCGATGCCTAAAGGCCATACCCCCCATTATGCTCTGTAACAGCTCCCAATCCACTTTATCATATGTTTTTTCAAAGTCCAACTTACAAATTAACCCTGGCTTTCTATCTTTGATTTTTGAGTAGATACATTCTTGAGCCACCAAAATATTATCCATAATTTGTCTGTCTTTCAAAAAGGCTGATTGCGGCCCTTGAACAACCAAGTTTAAAACTTGACAAACCCTATTAGCCAAAATCTTAGCAATAATCTTATACAAACGGCCCAGCAAGCTAATTGGCCGTATATCTTTCATCTATTGAATAACTGATTTTTTAGGAATTAGTGCAATGAAAGTAGAGTTCATGACTATATTAATCATTTCTCTCCAATGGAACTCTTCCATTAAACTAAACATATCATCTTTTAAAAGGTCCCAAAAGATTTGGAAAAAAACTAAAGGGAACCCATCTGGTCCTGGGGCTTTATCTTTACCTAAGCCAAAAACTGCCTCCTTGATCTCTTCCAATTTAAATTTTCTTTCCAATCAAATAACCTTTTCTAGAAAGAGTCTAACAAAAGGTACATTAGTAAGGGACAAACTCAAGGCATTTTCATAGGTAAAAGACTGCTTGAAGTGATGAGTGAGCGTTGTTCCACTTCTAAAGAATTTTCACAATCAACCCCCTGGATTTTAAGACTTTGAATAGAATTACCTCTTTGCAATAAGCATGAAAGAACTTAGTGTCCCTGTTTACCTCCTTTAGCCATTGGACCCTCAATCTTTGTCTCCAATGAATCTCTTTTAGTCTAAGGAGGTCGCGAATTGGACATTATCAAATTCCTCTACGTCTCTTTTGGCTACACATATTTTTTAATGAAGGTTACCAAAAACTATCTCCTTGATCTCTTCCAATTTAAATTTTCTTTCCAATCAAACGACATTTTGTAAAAAGAGTCTAACAAAAGGTACATTAGCAAGGGACAAACTCAAGGCCTTTTCAGAGATAAATGACTGCATGACGTGATGAGTGAGCGTTGCTTTCACTTCAAAAGAATTTTCACAATCAACCCCCTGGATTTTAAGACTTTGAATAGAATTACCTCTTCTCCTTGCATTTGTAATAAACATGAAAAAACTTACTGTCCATGTCTACCTCCTTTAGCCATCGGACCCTCATACTTTGTCTCCAATGAATCTCTTCTAGTCTAAGAAGATCCCAAATTAGACATTATCAAATTGGGCATTATCAAATTCCTCTCTCTCTCTTTTGGCTATGCATATTTTTGAATGAGGGTTACCCCCCCCCCCCCCTTCTCTCAAATTGGACATTATCAAATTTCTCTCTCTCTCTCTTTTGGCTGGTTTGAATGAAGGTTACCCCAAGAGTCTCTTTTCCAACAAATAATTTTCTCTTTCAAAAATTAAAATTTCCTTGATAGGTAAAAACTTTTCCACCCATCAGCCTGTGTATTTTTCCAGAATTTCTCAACTAATTCAATTAAAGATTGTCAATCAACCAAAAAATTTCAAATATAAAGGGCGAAGACGCATAAAAAAAACCATATGTGTTGAGTAACAAATGAACGAGGTCAGAAGCCACTTTTGGTAATGTTTTGACACGTAAATTGGGGAAACGATTTACAAAATCTTGGGTAACCAAAAACCTATCCAATCTGGTTAAAACAGACTAATTATAATTGTGATTTGACCAAGTAAAGTTTGGCCCAATCGATGGAATATCAACTAATTCATGCCTTCAGATGAAACTATCAAATACTCTCATGCAGGAAGACATTCGTGGACTAGAAGATGATTCAAAAGGGCATAGAATAATGTTAAAATCACTAGCAATACACCAGGGCAAATTGAATTTTGGATAGACACTATATAACTCATTAAAAAATAAAGGTCTTTCATGTAGTCTATTAGGTAAATAATAGTCAAACGCCATCTAAAATCATCCAAATGTCATTTAAACAAAATAGATGTATGTCTAAAAGATATGATAAAATCAATAGCCTGCAGAAAAGAGGGGTCCTATAAAATCCATATACCTCCAGAAAGTCCAACGGCATCAGAACCTACAAATCCAAAAACCTCGTCCCCCAACGGCATCAGAACCTACAAATCCAAAAACCTCCTCCCCCAAACTTCTAAGGTTGTTCGAAAATTCGGGGCTCCCATTTTTGTTTTTTGAATAACCAAAACGTCTATCTTTTCTTGATGACAGAAGGACCGAATATCATTTTTGAGTAGAGAATTGTTAGAGGCCCGAACATCATTTGTACAAGACACGGATTCTATGAGTCCTAGCGGTGTCTCTTGGATCTTGCATACCTTTCTTCTTTCGATGCTTTAGGTAAATGTGATTTCATTTTTTGTTTTTTTATTCTATTTGTATGTAGCCAAAAAAACAAATGCAATTAGTAATGCAATCCTTTTGGGAAATACATTAGCTTAGTTTAAAGTTTGAAACTTTATATTTAAATATGGAAAAAGTGTATATGAGGACGAGACTCTAAACAATCAAATTAAAGTGCATCTCAGAAATTCACTGTAAGAGATTGTTCTAATGCCTAAAAGTCTTCAAATTGATGATCTCAACTTCAAGGTGTATGGACATGAC